TCACATTAGCGCCCTATCGCTGGAGTGCCCTCCATAGTAGCGTTTCTAGAGCAAACAATGTGGCTTTCAACGACGCCGCTATAGAGATACGCCGTCGCCATGGGTGGCGTTTAGGCGCTAGAATGTGCTGTCATATAGTGAGGCGCAAACGTTGGAGTTTAGACATGATATAGCGAGAGAAAGAAACTAATTCTTACTAATAAATCATTTTTTTACGCATCTATTAGTGCTTTTCTATTTTATGTCCTTAAATATCAAGCCAGTATACCGTAATTTCAGAGTAACCTCATGCATATTGGCTCGTTTCCATGCGTGACGTCATTACACCGTGGGTAGGCCAAGAAATGAGGACTCACTCATGACATATATTTTGTCCTTGCAGCTGACCGAGACTCACCAGAATTTTTATCAATCAGACTCACTCGGAGTGAGACTCGTCACAATATTCCGAACTCATATCTCACTCGGAGCCTGAAGGAGCCCGAGTCGGTCTGCTCAGGAGTGAGATTGCCGACGTGTACGATTGACACTCACGCACTATATCACATCACGTCCATCGCTTAGCGGTATACCTTCTTTCCTTGCTCTCCTCAAATATGATGTCTAACACTCCTCTTCCCGACACCTCATTGGCCGAAAGTGAACACCACGTGACCCTGCGGTGCACTTGGTGCATGACGCGCCCAACGGGGATGTGCGTACACACATTGATGGCGTTAAGATAATGATTGATTGATTTGTGGGGTTTAACGTCCCAAAACCACCGTTTGATTATGAGAGACGCCGTAGTGGAGGGCTCCGGAAATTTTGACCACCTGGGGTTCTTTAACGTGCACCCAAATCTGAGCACACGGGCCTACGACATTTCCGCCTCCATCGGAAATGCAGCCGCCGCAGCCGGGATTTGAACCCGCGACCTGCGGGTCAGCAGCCGAGTACCTTAGCCACTAGACCACCGCAGCGGGGCTGCGTTAAGATAATGAGCGCCGAATGCTATATATACACAAAGGCATTGTGTCAAACCACTGATGCCTTCGTACGCGAGATTATCTAGCAAACGCTATGCATAGATGGAAGCATTTTTTTTTTACTTTCTGGATCTGATTTAGGAGCAGCAAAGGTGTACCGTTTTGGAGCAGCCGCAAGTGCTCTAGCATAAATGACATCTGAGCCAATAAGTTAGCCATCCGATGACGGTATACAAATTCTTTAGGGCTTGCGAGTTGGTCGCAAGGTTAAAACTCCTCCGTTACTTTTTTCATCAACGCCAGTTTAGCAGTAGGTTCGGAGCAGTCACAAACAAAAATTACGGTTTGAAGCCGCGTATGCCATTTCTCTTTTGGAGCAGATTAGAGTAGTTGGAGCAGCACCTCCATCCCTGCATTGCATCTACATTTGTCATTCGCGACGGGTATACAGGCAAACACGTTTGCCTATTGTCAGCGTGTCCAAATTACGTTCACGCATATTGATTGATTGATTGATGATTGATATGTGGGGTTTAACGTCCCAAAACCACTGATGATTATGAGAGACGCCGTAGTGGAGGGCTCCGGAAATTTCGCCCTCCTGGGGTTCTTTAACGTGCACCCAAATCTGAGTACACGGGCCTACAACATTTCCGCCTCCATCGGAAATGCAGCCGCCGCAGCCGGGATTCGAACCCGCGACCTGCGGGTCAGCAGCCGAGTACCTTAGCCACTAGACCACCGCGGCGGGGCGCGTTCACGCATATTAGGAAGTACGAAAAAGAAGTTAAAACAAAAGTATACCTTGGTCTAACCTGTTTTCACGCTCTTCCCCGAGGAACGAAGTGTTTTCGTTTCAAAACACTGACATTCGGCCCGGCATCTGCGCAATGATTATCTTTCGAGTTCTGCTGTTTATTTTTGTTGAAAGCAAATGAACAGTGCAATTCTTTTTTTTTTTAAAGCGACCAATGTTACGTTGCGCGTAAGCACGCATTAAGTCCCCTGCACTTTCGTGGACATTAATGACGGAGAAGACCGGCGAAGCAACGGAAACGTCCACGAGGAAAGAATAGGAAGGAATAAACAACACCACTTCAGCGACACGATACGTCAAAGTGGCTGCGCCAGCGCGTCGGCCACAAATGGCGATCGCACGCACGTTCATACATCAGTCCATCAAGGCATTGAGTTTCCTACCATAATTATTAGGAAGAACTTCGGCGATAGTGAAGAGATGCGCAAGTGCGACGGTTGAACCAGCTTTAAAATGACGGTTAGCTTTAGTATATGAAGATTTGCGCAAAATCCGCCACTCTGGTTTCAAAGCAGCTTGAAGGCTATGAAAATCGATTATATTCAGCAACAAAAACATACTTGTCAAAATAGTAACCAATGACAATTACCACCCACGCAAGCTGGGTCTCACTACCCTGTGCGTGATAAACTATGCTGGCGCTCTTCGATTTGGCCCAATAGCCGTGGACTAAGCGGCGGACAAAAAAAAAGAGTATGATGAATAATAATTGGTCTATCGAGCGAAGCAACAAATGAGACTAGTTGATTGATAAGAACCTGTAGAATCTGAAACACCTTAAAATTACTGCGACACGGGTTTACTAGCGATTCATTACGCGTTTTGTCCTCTTAACTATACGTGTCCGTTTACAACTAAGTTTTGTGTGCGGCTGTAACGGTAACTAAAACAGTGCGCTACGAAGAACTTATGGAGATATTTGGTTACTGTAGGTGTGAGATTGCGATCGCTTGACAAGCACCGCTCAAGCAGGCTCGTGTACAGGCCATCTCACACTATGTAAAGTCGCTCATTTACGTAGTCCTTTCAAGTCAAGCATTACCACCTACGAACGATCACTGCCACGGTGAGGAACTACACGACAGCTTCGCTTAGGGTTCTATTAATATGCGGGGTTTAACGTTCCAAAACCACCATATGATTATGAGAGACGCCGCAGTGGAGGGCTCCGGAAATTTCGACCACATGGGGTTCTTTATCGCTTCGCCTAGGGTTCCTCAGTGAGATAACCTCAACGGGTCACAGAGTGCTTTTAGTCGGCGTGTAAACATTACCGTCTACTAACCACCACTTTTAGGGCAAACGAGCGATCGCTGCGCCAGACGATCCAGTGGTAATTTTAGTAGGCAACCCCACGCGTTGCAGAACTTGCAGGCCCCACAGAAACAAGCGTGGAGCCTCGCAGCGGGCAGGTAGGAAGACGCTGCCGCAACACACTGACCACTCCAAGGTGCCTTCCTACACGCCATGGACCGTCGCCCACTGCTACGTCGGAAAACTGGTTCCTTCAGGCCTGGCAGTTCCCCTTTCGCTATACGCACGTCCTACATTTTATGACGCCGGAGTCACAACGGTGGCGGAAGTGCTAAAAACTGCGACATCTCGTCAGTTCAGAAAAGGTCACGGACCTTCCTACGGCAATCAGCAACAGGCCATCTCTCTGAGACCGACTGCGTCTTGCTCGCTTTGTCTCCTTAATCACTACCACTGCTGATAAGATCGCGTTGAAATTCTTCGCAGCAAAGTGCGACCAACGGGACGTATGCATGCGGGTTCTTAACGCTGGCCACGATGGACGCCGGCTTGAATAGTCTTGTGCGAGGCCGATTACATGCGATTACGGCTTTACCTCGACTCGAGTGGATGTTTGGTGACAACATTTATCGTTTGCGATAATTTTACCCCTTCGTGAAGTTCACGTGCTCGAATGGTAGTTTTCTGTTCCAGGTGTTAGAGAAGCTTCCGCATAAGCGGCTTGAAAAAAAAAAATGGACTGTTTATTGAGCAACTTGCTGTTTCGGGAAGCAATTTAGTTTTATTTATGATCGCGTATTCTTGCAATGCGAGTCTACAGCGAAATGTATTTCAATATAAATCCATCGATAACTAACAAAAAATGAGATCCAATCATTTTTACGTGAAGACCACCGCTAAAAAGGGTGGAGAGTGGCCGTGCATGTACTGATTCAGTAAAACACGACAAGTAGTTAGGAAAAAAAAATTAACATATTAAGCAGCAACTAAATGTTTTATCGCGCTTAATTTTTTTTTTTTTTTTGAGCCGACATTTGCAACACGAGCAGACGTAACCAAAACCGCAGGAAAGGAACATCGATGCACTAAACCATCGGAAAAAAAAAACGAAGAAAGAAAGGGATAAGGGAAGGAAAAAAAAAAAATCTTCAGCTACACCGCAGGCGGGATGGCGTGGAGACCTCTTGGGCAGAAAGTTGCCCAACCACTACATTACCGCATTGCCACGATTCCCAAGCCCTACCTGCAGCAGCTTACCTGCAAGGCAGGCATTCAGTGGTCACGCAGGACCGGCAAAGCGGCGACGGATTATACGCCGAGAAAGTAACCGTCCTCGCTGGAAACACGGCTGCGAGCCGAACGGGTTTGACTTCTCCGCGGCTCGAAGCAGTGCATCAACTCGGTGCGGGAGCATTTTGAAAGCGGCAGTGCCGAATCGACGCACTGAAAGTGAAACCGCCTTGCGAGACAGAAAGAAAGCGGACCTTCCTGTGAAAAACGATACGCCCCATTCAAACCGAGGCGCCGGCTTCGGCGGCCTCCCAAGTTCTAAACTTGCACAAGCGAGCGCGTCTTGTTTACCGCAACACCACCGCAAACGTCGGGGAAGTAGCGGTTTGTGTCATCGGAAGGACGATTATATAGCACACGTTCGGTGGCCGCACGACAAAATTAGGGCGTCACACCGTCACAACTACAGCGGTGACATAATTTAAAGAAAATTCTAAAGCGAGCGGCAACGAACAAACTAAATTATAGTACAGTGAGATAGCGTCACACGGCGATGCAGACAAGTACAGGTCATTTAGTATTTTTTCCCCCTAACAGTTTGAAATACACAAGGGGGAAGAGCGTAAACAATGTACGACCATTCAATCGCACGCACTGTGCAACGACTCAGTTTAAACCGCATCGCAACGGCATGCAGCCGAGAAAAAGCACTACACGCTGCGCGCACTCACCGGCAAAAAGCATCCCGTTGCGGCCGTGGGCCAACACCCGTAGATGCAACGTGCACTATCGGCGTTTCTTGAGCATATTTTTGAGCCGGCACTGCCAACTCAAGGGCCCGTAGGACGTTCGTTGTACTCGGCTTGCATGTCGCAGCGGACCTGTGGGAGTCTCGCGTTTCCCACAGCTGACCTGGTTACCTCGCCGCTATTGTTGTTCCGACGACCAGCTGCTCCAGCGGCATTCTTGCGAACGAGAGACAATGGAAGGCTACCTGGCTATCAAACGCTGGTCATTAGCGAGAGGAAGAAAACAAAGTCACAGCGGCAACACACCGCACCGACCACCGCGCTGCTCGAGACCCCTTCGCATTTCTCTGGCGTTCTTTCGAACAGGTGCAGCGCTGTTTCTCAACCTGTTTCACAGATGGCGCTGCATGCCCGCACATTTTATATTGATACTAGGCAAATTATTTGTAAAAATAAAAACCAATAACCACGTTTTTAAAAAGTAATAAGTGTGTTGTTCTAATTATATTATAATATTGTAGATTATCAGCATTGATACAGAAAAAATATGTTTTGTAATTTATGCACTAGCAGCGCCACAAAGTTGCTGCTACTATGACGCCATTTTAAAAGGGACTGAGTGTTTTTCAGCGAGAATAAATTGTTAATGTGCGTGCTTTTCGGGCGTCATTTTGTGCAGAAGAGATAACCAGAATTCCAGAAACAATATCGCGGAAGTTTCTGGTAGAGATCCCTCGTCGTAGGGATGTAAGCTTTCTGTATTTGTCACTGTTGTAATGTCTGTGGCTTACACACATATGTCTTACGTGAATCTGGCCGGACACTTCGCACTCGAAAACTATCAATGCATTTCATAGGCTCCACATCTGTGTCTTTACTGTGCCTCAAAATACACAGCCGAAAATCTTTCTAAATATAGTAGCCATGCCAGCAGCGCCTCCTTTCCGCAAAAGAGGAGGCCGCTGCTTGCGCTGTAAGGAGACGTTGACGAATTACTACACGTCCGGTTCATAAACAAATAAATAAATAGATAAATAAATGAATAAATAAATAAATAAATAAATAAATAAATGAACGAACAAATAAATAAATAAATAAATAAATAAATGATTTATTTAACGTGCCTGGGAACGAAAGTAATGTAATACCGTTGTTATGGCGCAACGTAAGAAAATACTAAATATATAAAAATACATTAACCACAATCTCCAATCAAAAGAGGGGGAAAATTGTATGCATAAAGCAAGGACAACAGGACTAAAATACAATACCGTAACACGAGAAATATATATCAGGCCAATGATAAATAGTGTGATGCAAAAAAAAAATGAGCAAGGAAGGCTGCAAGACAAAGACTATGATGTCGACAAGGCTTGGAGGAAGAGAACAGAGCGCGTGAGCCTGTCAAGAACGTGCAAATAAAGAAAGTAAGAACTACAAAGATTTGCGCATATTGTAAATGGTTTAGTATTGGCAGAGGCAGATGGTTGTCTAACGCGGAATTCGCATGATTAATACACTTGAATAGTTTAGGGCAAAATATAACACCCTGGGTAATCTTGGAAAGAAATAAAAGATCAGCACTATACTTTGTTGGCGGTGCAACGCTGAGTGGTAATCAAACAAAATGAACAATAAATTATCAAAAATGTAAAAAAATTAACCTAGTACAGCTTTGCAGACACCAGTTAAACAGCAAAGCTGGCGGACATTCCCTTCATCAGGCTACCGACTTTTTATATTTTCAAAGTCTTTCGGATGTGTTGTACCACTGCTCTTTATTAAACACTCTTAGTTTAGCCTTGAGGTGGTGGTATAGATATTATGCATCTTGATCATTCTGATTTTTCACATAGTCTTACAAAGAGCACTTCGTTTAAGATGCTCCAATATGTTGTATAACTGCTCTTTATTAACCACTCTCAGGCTCTGTGATGGTGTTATACCCACCACATTTTATAACCCCAAAGCGCCACATGACAGTGGTGTGACTATGATAACGTGCTCGCAATTGTTGGGCTAACCGTTGTCTCCTTTCTTTGTAGCGGAAATTGTGTGCAGTCGCATCGGTCCAGTTTATTTGGCACCGATATACATGTTTATGGTGATGGTAGGTCTCTGACAGGCCACGCATATTTCAGTGGCAGATGCTCGTTTGTTGGGCCGAATGTCGCCCGAATGTCTAGACAAATGATGACTAAATGGGATTTACCCGATGTCTGCGGCGCATAGCCATGGATTTATAATGCCCACCTTAGTTACCTCGGTTACCACGCCCACCTTAGGTTACCTCGGTTACCACGAAAGGGTCGGGCGAGAACATCTTCGCTATTTAAAAAAAAAATGTATATCTGCGACTACATGTATTCATACACCTCACTCTCCTTTGCCTCAGCAGACCGAAAAAAAGAGAAAAATGGAAAAGAAAAGAAAGAGAATGCGTGTACGGCTACATCCACCTTTCGCATTATAGAGTATCGTAATAATCGGAAATCTCTATTATGGGCCTGCCAGGTGACAACATGAAATCTGCAAAAACAAGCAATGCCCACCCCCCTTCTACCATTCTTTTTTTCTTTCTTTCTTTCTTTCTTCCTTCCTTAATTTCTTTCTTTCTTTTTTCGATGAACACGATAGACACTATTCAGTCTATCAGGCTATCGGCAATATCCACGCCGTCAATAACATTCCATTTTATCATAGCCCCACCTCGGTGGTCTAGTACTCAGCTTCTGACCCGCAGGTCTCGGGATGGAATCCCGGCTGCGGTGGCTGCATTTTCGATGGAAGCGAAAACGCTGTAGGCCCGTGGGCTCAGATTTGGATGCACGTTAAAAAAAACCCAGGTGGTCGGAATTTCCGGACTCTCTGCTTAGGCGTCTCTCATAATTATATGGTGGTTTTGGGATGTTGAACCTCACATATCAATCAATCAACCATTTCATCCTGAATTTTCTTTTTCCGAATCAAACTAAACTGAATAAGGCGTGCTTATTGCGAACATGTTGAAGGTTATTCGCGACCATGAAGCTATGTGAACCGATAATGGACAGCGAACATCTCGTTGGTTGAAGAAATCAAATACAAATCCACCTGCTCCTCATTAATAGACACATCCAAAATCATCATCGTATAGCACAAGTGTTCTCATATCTGCAGATCTGTGCTTTGCTGTTACGCCCGACAAATTAGTATCAGATTGGTTTCTTTGGTGCCCGCGCAAAAATATACTACAGCATGTTGCTATCCAAGAAACAGTTTTCCCAGCGACTTACTCAGTTCTAAATTCTGCGCTAAATGTAGCTCCAGAGCTGTAAATCCTGAAAAAGTCCTTAACACTGCCACACAGTGCTCCTGGTTTGCATAATTCTCACTGATCCGTTTGCAAAACCGCCGATGGCGTTTCGGGTATATAAACATGTGTGATTTCCCACACTCAAGTATACAATATTGCTAGTGAGATACGCAAGCTCGGCGTGCAACAAGTGCGCTTTAGTTTGCTACAATCGAGTTCCTGCTTGGTTACGACCGTTGAGATACGCGTGTAGTCTCTGCCGGTTTTGTTGTCTGCTGCGACGAAGCGCCTGAGAAGCACCGCTGGGAGGAGCAGTTGCTAGCTCGGCAAGACGGTGACGCCCTCTCTCCCACGGTTTGGTCGTCTGCCACGTGTTGGTGAAGCGTTTTTTAGCAATGTCAAGTTGCTTATTTCGTTTACTTTGTGGTCACGTTTGTTAATTATAATATTTAAGATCTTGTCCGTTTATTTGAACCTGGTTTTGAGGATTTCTAAGCTTGTTCCAGGCCTGTAGCGAGCAGTTGATTGTGCGCGGGAACACGCCTCTTGAGATGAACGGATGACAAGGCGGGCCCCTACAGTGATGTGGTTGGATCTGTGGAAAGTCAGCTCCACCCAGAGCACCATGGTACGCCTTCTTTTCTCTTGTGAGACAGGTCCTGCAAGCTGGTTTCCGCTCGAACCTTAAGTGTTTCCTCACGGCAGATGCAAATGTTGTAACGCTACTTGTATTAAAAGATAAATGTTAATCATTACTTTCTAAAACATAGCGTCTGGCCGAGAAGCAATATGAGAATCTCAGACGAAATTTACTGGTACGTTCAAGTTTTTGACCTACACTCAGCGGTATACCTCTCCGAGAAAGTCGACTATCTTCAACACTTAAGGAGTGCTTGACGTCACGAAAATGCGTAAGTGCCGTTGGAGGGAGCACTTATGCAGATTTTCTGTGGGAACATTCCCACAGCGAATGTCGACAAAGAATGTATCTCCCCCAGAGAATTTCCACAAAGCCATTACACACACACACACAAACACACACACACACACACACCACACACACACACACACACACACACACACACACACACACACACACCGGCCTATGTTTGTATTCTAAGAGCTCGCACATTTGAGCGGCGGAAACACTAAATGCGACGTTGTAGCCGGAGGCTACCCTGTCATATCTCCCCTTATAACATCAATGCGAACCACCGTGCTGATTCGTTTGCTCCTGTCAATCTGGAGCGACAGGCGAAGGAGCAAACACGTTTAGAAAGCAAGTGCTCCACGCATGACACGGGTGCTAATAAGCTACACACGTCTCTCCGTCCTCTAAGCTGAAAAAACTATTTATACAGCCCCAAAACGTTCCGGGTCCATGCCCCTGGACCTTCTTTGCCACACGGATAAAAAGATACAAAGCAGCCGACTAAAAGTCAGAAGGGTGGAGAGGTTATAAGAACATGAACACGCACAGACGAGTGGCTCTGCTTAGCGGTTTGTGTAAGACGAGTGGGACGTGACCAGACTTCTGTATCTGATCAGCGAAAAACGTTGAAAGACCTCGCGAGTATCGAGTTACCCTGCTTGTACACTGGAATCACGTTGACAATCGAGTGGCTTCGCTCGATATCGACGCCTAAGTTAAAGATAGACAGCTGCAGTGGAAGGACAAGCGCGAACGAACGAGTGCAGGCCATTTAAACATCTTTCAGGGTGGTGACTTGAGCGGTGAAAAAAAAAAAGAATAAGAAACGAACGTGCAACGCACCACGTCAGGTACTGTTTGGAAAAATAAGATGAAGAGGGAGAAGGAAAGTTCTATTCGCCTGGAAGCTGTATAGACACATAGGCCAACAGATTGAGTTCGACATGTCTAGTGCACATTTTATCCATGACGTGTCGCCGTCGATTTAAAGTCGCTGTAAAAAAGCTATGAAATTGCATCCTACATGATTTTGTGGCATGAAAGATTTCCAGTTTGTGTGTTCCGAGGGCCCGGTTTTCTAGTTTTGAACTTGTGAGGTTC